CAATATATCGGTGTTTTTATTTTGTATTTTCTTTTTTCTTTGAAAAGGGGAATTTTAAGGGTTCAAAATTCTTACCCATTGTAAAATTTAATATTGAATTCTCCAAATACAAAATTTAAATAGAAATTTTTTTTTTTATAAAAGAATTTTTAAAAATTCAACAATATTATAATTGATATCCATATTTTTTTATGTACACTGCAATGTAAACAATTATTACAAAAGCTATCCATAAAGTTTCGAATAATACAAATTGAGTTTTAATCGGCAAAAAATGCTTGTTGACTGATCAGGGTAAACCTTTTTTTGTAATATTTAAAGGCTTTGTTATGCTAATGTTGAATAACGTTTCATTTTGTTAAGGGAAACGATGAATTAAGTTACAATAAGTTCTGAATTTGTATAGAGAATTTATTCTTTGTTACGAATAAGGACTCATATAAAATTCCATGAAATATAACACTTAAGAAATAAAAACTTACATCGAATTCAAAAACAAATGTTATCATTACGTTTTGTCACTTTAAGAACTTTAGACATAACAATATTATACTTTGATATCTTACGGCTACGTATATCGATACTTATTGTTCCTTAAACGAGATCGGCATTTTTAATAAAATCAGGGATTGATAACGACGTAAAAAAGGTTTGCACTCTGAATCCGGTAATTTATAAATTTCACAACACTTGGGCTGCCTGGCAATAAAGCAAAACTGTAAGTACGAATTTTCAATTAGAGTGAGGGGAGGGTATGTTCGCGTGATCGGCCCTCCCAATCTCCGATTTTCGTAGACTGGATTCGCACCCCGTAAACGCACCGACTTCTCGTGAATAACGGCTGCAACTGGTGGCTGGCGCAACTGGCAAACGGTTCGCAAGTCGCGGACCGCCGCATTGCCTCGGCTGCTGCCGTAGTTGCACGCGAGCTTCTTTCCCCTCCTTCCAAATCTCATCTTCATAAAGTGCGAGTGAGAGCGAGCGGAAGAGAGAGAGAGAGAGAGAGAGAGAGAGAGAGTGAGAGAGAGAATGAAAGATGGATAGAGATAGATAGATAGAGAGAGAAAGTGAGAAAGTGACAGAGAGGGTGGATGGGAGGGAGGGGGGGAGGGAGGGGGGGAGGGA